TTAATGATTCCATGATTCTATGATTCTAATTATATAATTAGTACTAAGTCCTGTAAATTTGCCTGCCTTCAGTTGTGTGTCAGTGACTGATAAATGGGGAATTTCTGCTGGTGACAAATCATTTTTTTACCTTTCATATTTAAATACAAACTTGAATTCCAGTAAATCTGCCATAGACAAGCAAAGGGAATAGTAAAATAGTTTAAAACTGCCAACAATTCTGTGTGTAGAAAAACTTCTGGAAGAATAGATATTGACAAGAAGTTAGGTGTCTTACAAAGTTCTTGTGTTATGTCCCCAGTTTCTTCTGGTTTTTATAATGGAAAACTCTTATTGGTTTTTTCCAGTAACTATTTCTGTATCACACATCAGAATATGCAAAGTATAAAATAGAGCAAGAGTGATGCTTGGAAAATCACTAAGAAACTGCTCATTGAAAATAAAATACATCGGAGAAATACTGCTTTCTCAATACCTCAGTGCTAAACATATCCTATCTTAAGAAGGGAGAAGGATTGGACAGTTGTACAACTTTAACACAATCTTAATTTGGCAACAAAACTCAAGAACTAGAATAGATTATTATTTACTCAACAGAAATAGAAAAACTAAGCTTATCATTATTTTAAAGTGTTAATAGACATGGAAGTGAAAAAACTGTGTGGTAAAGACTAAGCAAAAAAATAATTACACTACAGGAAGTAAGCTAAGGAAACTGTTTAAATTTAATTGGAAAAGGCAAGCAAATGCCAAAGTATCTTCAATTGGGTCATCTTACTCGTAGCAATTTTTTTTGAGACTGTTATTACCAGTTGTCTGAAGAAGTTTAGATTTTTATCATTATATTTCCAATCTAGTAGTGAAGGCAGAACAAGAATTGATAGTTGAAAACTTAAATCAGAATTTAAAGGTGGAACAAAGTCCTGTAGTATGTGGTAGAGCCGCCACTGTCCTGCGGTGTCTTCAGATCAAGCTTGGAACCTTTTTTGGAAGATGTGGCTTAGTCAAACACAGGATATATCAGGGTCACTACAGCGGATGAAATTAAATGACCTGTGCTATACAGGAAGTTAGATGTCAGATGATTGGACTGCTAATTAAAACCTCATTCTTGCTGCTACTCAGTCTTTGGTGCTGTTTTGGGTATAGAATGATGTATATTTTAGTCTTTACATAATCAAGCTCCTACAATAACAGAATGGTAATAAAATAAACCTATGACAGGAAAGTGGTCACCAGTGCATTTATTTTGGTCTTTAAGAATGCAGAAGAACAGTTTAAAACTCTTTAATAGCTTCAGAAACACTGTTGCGTGCTCTGCAAGCAGAAACTGCAGAAATCCAAGCAACTGACACTGCTCCTTTGGTGCATCGTAGCATTCTTTTTTCCAAAAGATAGACAAGAAACAATCATTTCTCTAAACTATCTGTCAAGACTAGCCTGCCAAAATTTGTAGCCTTAAATCTAAAAAAGTTTGGATCTTGTGATGCTGTTCCTGCTTTTGCCCTTTTAAGTGCATTTGGATTTACAGTGTTTGACATGTTTGACTAAAGACCCCTGGCTGGGCCCTCTAGGTTTAATGACATGATAGATAATAAATAAGCACTAGCACAAGTAAAATTTCAGATGAGGGTGTGTCATTCTTAATAAAATTGTGACATCCTTGAAACCTCTGTTACAAGAACTTGAACTAAAACCTTTTCTTATGGTGGCATGTGCCCTGGTGGCTGCTGTTTCCATGTGGGTTTGTCATGTTGATAAAAGCATTATAATTGTTTCTAAATGATCAGCAGGTGGGCTTTCTCAGTGTGCAGAGTAACCTGTTGCAGAGATGCATGGGCTGGCTTGGCTCTTTATGGTCCTTTTAGGGTCATGTTTGTGTAGCTCCTTATGTCATTTAGTCAATAGCGTTAATAGCTTTTCTTTCCATTTACAGCCCCATTCTTTGTTCAGGTAGCCTGATTCACGAATGTTTTGTACTAATACATGACAAATTCCTTGACAATCTCAGGGTTCAAGTGTGTTCCCGAGTATCTTGCTTACTACCGCTAGTCATTGAAAAATGAACCCATTTCATAGACATGCTTTGTATGATTCTGTGGTTTCTGTGGAAGCTCATGCTTTTTATACTCCGAAAACATCACAGAATCACAGAATGGCTGAGGTTGGAAGGGACCTCTGGAGGACATCTGGCCCAACCACCTCTACCTTGTATTTTGTAGGCACTGGAATTGGTTGCATGCCAGGGGTTCAGAGGAGCATATGTGTCTGTGCTGCCTCCCGTGTGTCCTTGTTCGCTCCCTTATGTCAGCCTAGGTGCTTGCCTGAGCCCGTTCTGAATTCTTTTAGCATAGTGATCTGGCAAGCCACTTACACCTTCAGAGGAGAAGCAGAATTGGCTCTGTCAGCTGTGTTGAAACAGCTCAGGCCAGGAGGGAGCAGGAAGATGTAGTAGCTGACAGTTAGATCATTGTTGCTCACTGTGGAGCCATAGCTTCACTGCATATTTCGTTATAGGATGTTGCCGTTACTGAACCTGAAATTCTTTACCAATCTGTGTGCTAACAAGCATACTTAATAGCAACATCTAAATAGGATAAATACTGTAGCTCAGTGTTAGCTCAGGATTGAAGTAAGTCACAGTGGTATCTAACCACTTAAAGGTGACTTACCCCTGATACCCATGTTCTAAGGAAACATTTTTTTCTTAATTGGGATTATTCCCTGTCCTTCTCTGGAAATTAAGAGCTAACTGTACTTTTCTGTAGCATTTCTTTTTCTTTGAGTATGCTTAATTAGTTATTTCAGAATCTTTTTACTTAGTTCAGAATTATGCAAAGTGAACAAGAAATACAAGGCTTTACTATCATTATAAATGAGATGGAAAAGGCAATTGTATGTATTTGGGAAAGCTAGATGATAAGACTTTACTATTTTAATACATCTGAGTGAGACTGAGTTGCTAAAGGTAGATTGTATTTATTTAAATTTAACAGCACACTGTTTTCTAGAATGAAACCTAAATAAATGAATTGTTCTGTCCTTTTATAGGAAGAACAGAAACAGCACCCAAATATTTTTGTACGCATGCTTTACTTTTGATATGAAAAATGAGATTGATGTAAAAAAACCCAAAACAAAACAAAAAAACCCAAACCAACAAACAAAACCCCCTTCCTTTTAAAAAAAAAAAAAAAGCGTAATCCCAGAGCAGCATATGTGCTGTAATTGTGCTAGATCTGTGACAGATGAGTGTCTAGTCAGGTTTGGTTTGCAGCTATACTGCTATTTAATTTTGCAAATGTTGGATTGAGTTGGATGAAATTAAGCCTAATTTGTTACAGGCAGTGCACTGTTAATCTTCTTTTAAAAGACCCTCTGTTGGCTCCCCAGACTTGAAATAAAGTAGCAGTGTAATCTCTAAAATCTTGGGTGAAAAGATTTGCAGACTATTGAAATACTTTGTTCCACTCCTAAAACATGTTCTGGATATTAATGTCATAAAATATAAAAGAGAAGCGCATTCTACTCAGTAAGTAAAGGAGATGTTCTGACTTAAAACTTGAGGTAGCTATTGCTTTAGAAATCCTGGGATTTTAATCTAATAGATGGAATTTACCTTTGAATAGGAAAGAAAAAAAAAAAGGTGAGGTATACCTAGGAATTAAGAAAACAAGGAAGTACACAGTCTATGTTAGAGGAGAGCAGCTAATGATGATCTGATTAAAAATGTGTCTTTTGGACATCTTTCAGCCATTGTCTGTCCTGCTTAATCTTTTTAAAGTATTTTTGTGTGTGTGTATGTATGTAATGAAATAAGTACTGAGGTCATCTTGAATTACCAGTATCAAAAGGTTAATTTTAGTTACCTGTTCTGTTAGATTAACTGTTCTTACAGCGGATATCCTTCTAAGGATAACTGTCTGCTTTACCAAATCTTAATGAGCTAGGTATCAGAGCATCTCAGTGAGGTAGGCATTATTCCCTTTCATAGAGCAAGAAGCTTGGTCAGAGAGAGGTTGATTGAGTTTCACCAAGGTCACAGCAGAACTGTGTTGCTGAACCTACATTTTCCAGCTCTGAAGCTCATGCTGTAACAAGACTGTTCTTATTTCTGACATACTAAACTTCCCATTCTTACTGGACTGACATTTTTTTCAGGCTGACTGCGTTAGAGGATTTGCAGAATAATACGTGCATCAGTAAAATTACTAGTGAAACACTGCACTAGTAAAAACTTGAGAGGATAACATTGCGGCTTACTGGTCCCACAGCAGCTACTGCAATGAAGTGCTTGATGCAGATGTCTGTAGTAGACGGCAGTTGACTTTGTGTGATGTTACAAACCTGTACGATATTCCCTTCCAATACTTCTGTTTGCATTGCTCTTGTTCTAATAATGATTCTTCTCTTTGGGTGTTAACTATTTTTGTATGTTGCTTGAATTATATATTATAATATACACTTACCATGGCAGTTAGCAAAAACATCTGGCATCTTGATTGTGTCTATAAAAAAATCTGAATAGTTGAAGTGGTCAAGTAATGTGCCAAATTTAGATGAGGTTTGAAAGTTGGGCTAGTGTATTTTGTATGGAACACTTAACAGTCAGCTTTAAATAACTTCATTTAAAAATTGCCTGTGGTAATGAAAGAATGTCTTTTTACTTAGGTGGCACATTTGGAACGAACAGGGCATTACTTAACAGTAAAAGATAACCAGGTGGTGCAGTTGCATCCTTCCACTGTTCTTGATCATAAACCAGAATGGGTGCTCTATAATGAGTTTGTCCTTACAACAAAGAATTACATCCGGACATGTACAGACATCAAGCCAGAATGGTAAGCCGAAAGTGTGAAAACAGTCATGACCTACTGTAAAGCTCTTGTTTTTCTTTTTCCTTTTTTAAATTGAGGTAATTCCTTTCACTTTTCCTGAAGCAAATATTCTTAAAATGGTTTGGGGAATGGCATGGGCTTGAGATCTTGTAGATGACTAGAAGTTTTCTTTGTGGATACTTCTTTCTGTTTGTGGGAGTTGTGTGTAAAACTCGGGTGCCCAGGCTCTGTGTGCAGTGCGCAGAGAGATGCTTGACTTAAAACCAGTTACTTTAGTAAGCCTGTTGGGGAGGAGCTTCTTGGAGATGCTAGGTTTGGGCATATGTCCTAGCACCCACGTGTGTACCTAAGTTAAGAGATACCGGTAGATGCCTCTGTTCTCAAGATCTAGGACCTCTCTTAGCAGTAGGTGTCTGTAACTTTTCTGGAAGGATCTGAACAGGATTCAGTGCTTTCTTAAAATATGAGGGAAATAAAATATTAGGTAAAGAGGTGGTATAACCTGCCCTGTCGTAATATTTATTAGTCAGTAGAGTGCATATCAAGGAAATTAGAGGCCTGACCCTCTGCAGACAAGCGGAGATGTGCATCGTCTTGCCCGTCTTTAAGGTTGTACTTAAACTGCCAAGTTGTAAGCTTTGGGGACATGGGAGGCTCTTCAACTGTTGTTGAAATTGTGCTGTTGTGCAAAACGAGTTTAAAGATTCGTAAGCCAGAAAACATAGCATATACATGTTGTCCATAGTATTTTAATGGAAAATATGTGTTTGAATCCTTCCTTAGAAATCTTTTTCTGAACAAGTGCTGTATAGCCTGAAGCAGGATCCTATGGCCTTGGTTACATTTCTAAGCTTAAAACACCCAAGGCTGAATTGTGCTCTTGCACACGCTTAGGTGGACTTCTGTGGACTTTTGTGGCTTTGACATGAAGCAGCAGGCCTGCCCGTATGGGCTACTGCGGCATGTGCTGAAGCAGCAGCATGGGTCTGCAAGGATCATATGGCAGAACAGGAGCGTCTCGCTAGACTCAAGTGCTTTGGACTTGGGCAATTGCACAGGATGGGATTGAGATGTAAATGCGTGTGCATGTGTGTAAACTTTCATTAATCTTAGAATCGCAGAATGAGCTGAAAATAAGGGATAATCTTTGTTTTCCTCAGTTGTAGAATTTCTGTAGGATGCATCTGAAAGTTTGAGTATTAGTAACAAACTTTTCCTTTTTTGACAGGCTGGTGAAAATTGCCCCTCAATATTATGACATGAGCAATTTTCCACAGTGTGAAGCAAAGAGACAGTTGGATCGCATCATTGCCAAACTTCAGTCCAAGGAATACTCGCAGTACTGAATTTGTGCTTTGAACTGAAGTTATTCAGAGGACAGCTTTAAGAGATGAAAGGATTCAGAGTTCAAGTTGTGCTCTTCACTTTGGTTCAATAATGGCCTTTATTTGAAAGCTTTTTAATTTTTCTTTACAGTAAATATTCCATTCTGATTTCATAAATTAAACATTTATGCCTCCCTTTTGTGTTGACACTGTAGCTCATACTGGAAAAGCTGATCAATGTTTTGCAGTTTACTGAAAGTAGTTCTATATATAACAATGTTATAAGCATTTCTTTAGAAATGGTTGAAAATGCTTCTAAAAATGTGATTATCGACCATGGTATGCATGATCGTTGTAATTGTTGACATTCCTTTTAGAAGTTGTGAAATGTTACAACTTGTGCTTATGTAGACACAATCTTCAGCTTCAGTACAAAGGTACTGACTTCAATAAAGTCTATTTATACTAATTTTTTGCCACGGTATGTCAGTATTTCTATTGTTTTGATCAAAACGTGAGAAGCCATTTAGTCTCCTGTTAAACTGCTGTTTTATTGACATGGCAGTAGTTTAATATTTTAATATGAAAAGTGCGGATGCTTAAGCCACAATTATGGTGACATCAATATAATACATACAATGTTGATCCCTTGCAAACTTGTTTAAATTATGTAGGAAATTGTTTTAAAAATGAAATGCATGCAGAATTTTTTTGGAGAATGCTTTCTTCAAACATACTCCTAGATATTTCTTGGACAGAACTGTAGTAATATGTCCTGTAAAGTGAAGTGTCTGTGGCCAGTTAGACATTACCGTGCTGGGCAATGTTCAGATACAGTTTAAGATCAACACAAATAATACTTAAGTGACACTGTAGGTCAAATCACATTGCACCGTTGTAATTTTGTAGTGATTTTTAGTGAATTATGACTTGACAGCATTTTCAGTTGGGGAAAGCTAATCCCATGTGGAGTTTATAGTAAGATTTGATCAAAGGGCTGGAGCACCCTCCTGTGAGGAAAGGCTGAGAGAGTTGGGGTTGTTCAGCCTGGAGAAGAGAAGGCTCTGGGGAGACCTTATTGTGGCCTTTCAGTACTTAAAGGGGGCTTAGAAGAAGGATGGAGAGAGACTTTTTACGAGGGCATGTAGTGACAAAGACAAGGGACAATGGTTTTAAACAGGCAGAGGGTAGGTTTAGATTGGACATAAGGAAGAAATTCTTCACCATAAGGGTGGTGAGGCACTGGAACAGGTTGTCCAGAGAAGTTGTGGATGCCCCATCCTTGGAAGTGTCCAAGGCCAGGCTGGACGGGGCTTTGAGCAACCTGGTCTAGTGGAAGGTCTCCCTGCCCATGGCAGGGGCATTGGAACTAGATGATCTTTAAGGTTCCTTCCAACCCAAACCGTTCTGTGATTCTATGATTTAACATATTTGGTCAGGCTTCAGTTTTTCCTCTCCCTGGAATACACTGAGATTTGGTCCTTCTGGCAAAGAGGAGCTGGAGCAGCTCTTGCTGAAAGAGGTTCCTCTAGAATGGGAACCACGTGCTGTCATGCTGTAAGGCTGAACCAAAAATAGGTTATGTTTGGAGAGCTGGCAACTAACCTCAGTTACAAGACTAATCTTAAGCACTGATGTTTGGGGTATCCTATTTAAATCATAGCAGTTGGCTACAAAATTGCTTGGAATCAAGTAACTTGAGGATTCTCTTCTAATTCCAACTTTTTTTCTAAAATGCCATTCATGTGAGGGGGAGTGGAGAAGTTCTGAAAACTTTTTTTGTTAGCAATGAAAATAGTATTGTGAAAGAAAACAAGTCTGAAGATGAAAACTTGAGTGAATTTATAATACACAGTGGGACTTGTGAGTCTGCCCCAAGTTTGATAAGCAAGTGAGGGAGTGGGGGATCTCCCCCGCTTCAGGCATTATAGGATGGGTCTGGGCTTTCCTGCCCCGTGAAGTTTTCAGTAGGTAGGAGGGAGATTGGGTCTTCCTAGAATGTTGAACTGAATTAAGTTTTCTGACTGCAGTTGGAGTTTTTATTTAAAACATGGGGATCCTGGATTTAAACACTTTGATTTCAAACTAGTATTCCTAAACATAGAAATGTTTGTTTTACAAATTCCTGCTCTAGGATAACTCGGGTTCAGTGTGTGGGGTTTCACGATGGCTTGCTTACTGTCCTTCTGGGGGGTGGGGGAGCTACTTTGTGCAACGCTGAAAAATGGCTGCTCCCCAGGTAAGAATTTCTCTAGTACTCGTGTGCAGCCTTCAGCTAAGTGGTGTAGAACCACCTTCTGTATGACTTTTCCTAGGTACGGCAAGGTCCACAAACACAGCCAATTCGCAGCATGAAATCCCTTGAGGACCCCAGAACCAGCTGGCATAAACTGCAGTGGCTTTGGTACTTGCGAATGGGGGAGCAGATGGCTGTGGCTGTGAGTGGAACTTGACACGGGAGAGACTTTGGCCTGGTTTTCTTGTTTTCTTTTTTTAATTGTCATACCCACAAACTCAGCTTGGGCCTTGACAGCCAGCCTGGGATCTTTCACTGTCCTCTGTCTTTGCTACCAGGAATGCAAATACTACAGGCCAAATTAATGTCCTCTGACAGCTGTGCAACCCTGCCATCTCCCAATTAAGTCTGTGACACCTGTGCAATTCACCTAAAGGCACTGGGGTGCACTGGTGTCACTGGCTTAATTGGAAGGCTGTCGGATGTCCCAGCTGTCGCTGGGGACAGTGCAGGCCCAGTGCCCTCTCCCCACCTGGCAGTGGGAGCGTGAGCTATGGGAAGCAGCTTGGCTCTTGGGATCCCACTGGGATCTGGGGGCTAGCACTTCAAGGAGGTCCTGAAGCTCAAGCATCTTGGGAACCTAGTGGATTTGATACTTGCGTGTCATTTGTTATATGTCATCATGATTCTCTGGAAACCACTCCTCTTACTGAAGAACTGACAAGCAAAGCACTTGCAATACTTCAGTTCAGGACTAAAGCATTTTCTCATATTGGACTGTGTGTGCTACATATGCAGTTGTTCCTTCACTGACTGTTGCGTAGTGGAGAATGGCCCTAGGGCTGCAGCGGGGAAGCTCAGAGTCTCTGTGCAGGCATCGTGCAATCACTGTTCTACTGCACAATAGTGATCTCTCACGACTGAGTATTTAAGGGTTTGGGGCAGTAACATACAGACTCACTTAAATCACTGTGGACACCTTAGTGTTACTGCAAATTTCACTTTTTTTTTTAAGATGTAATTTTAGAGCCATACAGCAGAGGGAAGGGAGCAAGTTATCTAAGAAGTAACTGTCCCTCTCTGAAGGAGTAACGAAAGGGACAGCATGGCTTCTTAAAGACATTTTCTAGGCCCTAAAAGGAAACTGTATCAGGAACCTTCTTCTTAACTGTAGTTATCTCAGGGATACAGCAGATGCATGCAGAGTAACTTGGTTTTGGAAATAGCCCTGGTTTTTTGTAAGTTTTTTGTAAGTGTTGAAAGGTAAAACCTCATTCCTGTTTTTCTGGTGGAAAAACTGTTAAAAAAGGTTGCCCAGAGAAACAAGAAGACACCAAAAGGAGGTGTAGGAACGAGGCTGCTTTATCTAAGAACATATGAAGGTCACTGCCTCCCTCTTAGAATGGTTAAAAACACCCGCAGTCCTGCTCATCATCAGAGCTTTGGTTTTGGCTGCATATACTGCAAACTGTAGTAAATGGGAAAGAAAATGGGAAATTGTGAAATATGCAGGAGTTTGCTAATGTCAAATAGAAATTCAGCTTCCCATGCGTTTTGTTCTGTGAAATGCCACGGCTAACTAAAAGACCCCGCGGCTCGCTCTGCTGGCCTGTGGAGTGAGGGGCCCTGAATAAAGTACGTCAGCTGCCCCGACCAACTTTAGCTGTTTGCTCTTCTCCTGCGTTCCCTGCCTTTACTAATGTTGCTTCAGAGCGTTCAAATGACTAGCTAGGGTGTCAGCATGTTTCTCTTGGAGTACTGAGGAATTGCTCCCTTAGGATTAGTTGGTTGTCTGCTTTGGAACAATCTAAACGGAAAAGCAATGCTTTGTTTACTTACAGTGATTTTTTTTTTTTAATCAGAAATTCTGGTGGGTTTTGAAGATACGTGGTTTGTATAAAATAAACTATTTATAGTGTGGGACTTTTGAAAATATAGAATGGACTAAATGATAGGAAAATAGTACTAAGTGAAAGGAGTATATTTTTTGAAGAGTCTTCCATCTTAATTGTGCTTTTGTATAATACCTCAAAGCAGTAAAGGGCTAATATTGATGTGAGGTCATACCTATGTTCAGGTTTGCTAGATACAGAGGTAGTTACTGATGACTGAGTACACAAAGCTGTGTTTAGGTACATAGCTATTAACATTATGGAGACAATAAAGTAAGTGGCCAGTTATACTGTGTTTAGATTTGTAGGGATAGCATTTAGAATTTTTGTCAGAGAAAAGAATAAATGGTGACTTCATGCTTTGCTATGTTTTGATGTCATAAAAACCCCTGAACTTTTGCTTTTGGGAGATGTGTATACACAGCGGTGCAAAAGACAGGCGCTGAAGTTCCCTTTGGGGTGACAGGAGTATTCATCTGTGGTACCTGTCTTCGTTCACTAAGTTGAAGTGCTGTTGGTACAGGCCAGTTTGTGTTGGTGTGTTCTGTCTCGGTTCGGTCAGCTTTGCCTGATAGAGCAATACCACCATTTCTGATCACCTTCTCCCTTTTTGGATCAGGGTTTGTGAAACACCGTTAGTTTGACGTGTAATTTTCAACCTGCACTGCTACACAGTGCACATCGGAAACTGCTAATTATTTGCCATAAGAAATGCAGCATAAAGAAAAAATGCTGAAATTAGCCTTCAGTATGTCATTTAAAAAGATATCTCAACAAAAGTCAAAGGGCAAATAGTTTTCCTTCCATCCAGTCAACCTACAATTATTAATTTGTAATCAGATTGCTATAGTTTTCTTCATTTTCTGACAATTTAGCAATAAAAAGCCATACCACACCATGATACTAGGAAGCAGAGAGTTGTATTCTAAAGTACGTGAATTTATTCACTTACTATAATTTGTGAGGAATAGCCATTTTATCTTGCTTTTAGAACAGCTGAAGGTTTTAATAATAAACATCTTTTACTATTAGAAGTATAATTTTGTATTGGTACTCTGACCTTTTAAAATTATTTAACTTCAAGACTATGTATGTGACATAAGATTTATGTGAAGCAGAGAGGGAAAAATGATCTACTTGGTCAACCTAGTTCGTTTTTCTACTAATACATCTTACACTGGTAGCTTTCTTTCGTGGTATGCTTCCTAGCACTGTTCTGATACAAAACTGGGCATTGGTCCCCAATAATACAAACGTCAGATATTTTTGAGCTTTAAAATCTGGATGAAACCATTGTATGAGAGTGTTTGCCCTGCTTTTCACTTTTCCTTTTGCAAATGA